AATTTTTTTCTCCTGTACAAAGTAACTATAAAAATGACAGCCTTTCATTTAATAGATCTTTTTGCTGTCTTGACTATCTGTTTGCTTCACTTGCAAACTTTTTTCCCTTCTTTACTCCCACTAGCCCTGTAGGTTCCACCTCAATAAAAGAGATTGACTCTCTCCTCAAGCATCCTTGTTCAAAGGGATCCTTAGCACTTTCCGAGAGGTGCACAACTCTCCGTAAAAGTCACTTCTGTCCAGAAATTTATCCTTTGTGTAGATAGATATCTAACAACTTTAATCTCAGAGTGCAAATGGAATTTGTAGGGCTGAAAATGAAAAGGAACATCTATTTATTTGTATCCTAATAACATAAGAAGATCACTGAATAAACATAAAAACAAGAATAAACAGAAAACCCTGCAATGCAAAGAGTAAAATTAAGTAGCTTCTCACTGGTAGAGATTGAAACCGTTCCAGCAGCTATAAGGATGAATTGTATTTTGGCAGTGCCTGTCACGCTGTTGGTCAGAGAGGAATCTGAGACAACTGGTTTAGAGTAGGGGCATACCTCTGTGGTGGCTGGAACAAGTGGGATGAAACTCAGCCTAACAGATTTAAGAGTCCATGTCCAATTCTTAAAGAGAAACATTCGTTGAGGTTTCCATTCCTAAGTCATTATAGAAAGTGGGGCTTGGACTCTTGCCATGACGAATGAAAGTCCTAAAAATACCTCAGTGATTTATAAATATCCTCCTTGCTATTCCAGAGTTGTTAGTACCCAAGTCACTTTGAAAGTGACATTTAAGCTTCTCAGTCATAGAGTTATCAAGAAGGAAGTCAATTAATATCTGGTCTATCCAAAACAGGATTTACTCAAACTATCCCTGACGGATATTTGTCTAACTTGGTCTCAAAATCTTCCTGTGACAGGGATGCCACAGCCTCCCCAGGCAAACTATTACTGTACTTGACTATCCACATCAATAGTGAGTTTTTCCTAATGTCTAATGTAAATCTCCCATGCTGTGGTTTAAGCCTATTACTTGTCCTGTCCCTTGTGGACATTTCATAGCCTTTCAGACATCTGAATAACATTGTCACATATTCCCTCATTGGTCTATTTTTAGCCTTAGCGGAGGCTAAAAAAATGTCCCCTTAGGCACCGTGAAAGTTTTTCACAGAATCATAGAATGGTTTGGGTAGGAAGGGACCTTAAAGATCACCTAGTTCCAACCCTCCTGCCACGGGCAGGGACACTTTCCACTAGATCAGGTTGCTCAAAGACCCATCCACCCTGGCCTTGAACACTTCCAGGGATGGGGCATCCAGAACTTCTCTGGGCAACCTGTTCCAGTGCCTCACCACCCTCACAGTGATGAATTTCTTCCTTATATCTAATCTAAATCTACCCTCTTTCAGTTTAAAGCCATTATGCCTTGTCCTATCATGGCATGCCCTTGTAAAAAGTCCCTCTCCATCTGTCTTGTAGGCCCCCTTCAGGTACTGGAAGGCTGCTATAAGGTCTTCCCGAAGCCTTCTCTTCTCCAGGCTGAACAACCCCAACTCTCTCAGCCTGTCCTCATAGGAGAGGTGCTCCATCCCCCGATCATCTTCGTCTTGCTCCAACAGGTCCATGTCCTTCTGATGTTGGGGGCCCCAGAGCTGGACGCAGTACTCCAGGTGGGGTCTCATGAGAGCAGAGTAGAGGGGCAGAATCCCCTCCCTCGACCTGCTGGCCACTCTTCTTTTGATGCAGCCCAGGATATGGTTGGCTTTCTGGGCTGCAGGCGCTCATTGCCGGGTCACGTTGAGCTTCTCATCAACCGACACCCCCAAGTCCTTCTCCTCAGGGCTGCTCTCAATCCGTTCTCCTCCCAGCCTGTATTTGTGCTTGGGATTGCCCCAACCCCTCTGCAGGGGCACACCTATCTAAAGCCAGTTTATAAAGTACAGCTGCTATGTTAATGCCTTTATCAAATAGCAATTTCAGGATAAAAGTGTAGTGTAGTGGCATATGGCAGAAGAGCCTGATACAACTGCGTCCACTTCAGAGACTTTATGGTTTAAATGGAGATTTGGGGTTGTATCATTTGCCCAGCTTTTTACTGGCTGGGATGTCAATATTGGGATATCAAAAGTCTCAGTAAGTAGCTACCTTATTCTCATTCAAATTACTCTTCTGGTGTATTGCTTCTGCAGCTAGGGCTTACATCTCTGCACAGCATTGCATGTTGCCAGATGGACTGAACAGCTTACTCGCAGCAACTCAGCAACTTCTGCAGCACTGCAGGCCTTCTGAAACAAGGTCTACCTTGTTGCCTTACACAACATGAAGCAGAATGAAGCCTGACCTAGTCATGTCCAGGCCCACAGACAAAGTTAGGATGAAGTTACAAGTAGAGATGTTAAGGAATAATACTGTCTTCCCCTGAAGCAGTTTCCACTCAGTGTAAACCATTTTTTTCCTACCCTTTTTGACTGACAAGGTTTGGAAAGTTTGTATTCATTTTCTGGCACTTCAGTTAGGAGGCATGACAGAGAGTTTGTGCAGATTTCACTTCCTTCTATTTTTAGAAGTAGTAGCAATGCTTACTGTTTTATTCAGCTGGATGGAGAAATGCAGCTTCAAGAGTGGGCCCACATCATGCCTACCTACCTTTGGGTATCAATGTCTGGGGACGGGGGTAGGAGGACCATCAAAAAAGAGCACTGCACACTATGGCCACCAAAAGCAGCAAATGAGTTTTGTTTTTGAGTTTCTTCTTTGAATGTATTCCTAATGTTTGCATGTGTCAGCTCTGCTGAGGTGGCATCTCAGGTTTTAAATTAATATTGTTGTAATGCATTTCTCTTTAATTAAAAAAGAGAGCTCCGCTGTAGGAAATTTCCTAAAACAAAACTCATTAGTAATAAACAGATTAAATCTTTATCAGTTAATCAACACTATAAACTTCTGAGTGTTCAAAGAGCGGCGTGAGATAACACTGTCGTCATAATAAGAGTGTTTGAAATCATTAGGGATCCCATCGTGCCGTTTGGGTGGTGAGAAAATAATGATTGAAGATGGGCCCCCCTACAGAGCTCACGTGTGAATTCCCCGAAAGATTAAATCTGCAAAGATCTGGATTTTATTTGGCCCCATCTCTAAAGCATTTTTTTTTTAAATAGTGGGCAAGAGTGATGGGCAATACCAAGCAAATTCTTAATGATGCTGATACCAGAACCTGTCGGGATGCCACAAAATTTTTGAGCTGGTGGTTAGTGAAATTTTAGGGACTGTTCAAAGGGATGGATCCAGTCTCTTCCGTCAGGGCTATGGCAATCCTCTCATCACGCACGGGAAGGAGTTCTGCTCTGGTCCAGCTGCCTCCTGGGGATAAAGAGCACAACCTGCTGTACAGATGGAAAGGACAATGTAACTTTGGGCAGGGACCTCTTTGCTGAAGGCTGCGGAGAGACAGGGGCATAGTGGCGCGGGACAGGACAAAACTTGTATGGCTGGTAGCATATCAACACCTCCTAACCCAATAACATTTGGAGTCATGCACATTTAGGAATTTATCCTATAGAGGCACTGACATTTTCCCCGTCACTACTGGGAATGTTTCAGAGCTCCTCTGTGTCACCCTGGGGCCTTCTTTGGAGCCACTGGGATTATTTGAGCTCTTGCCATGAACTCTATGAAAAATAAAAGTAGGTGGGCTGGAATAAAAATAGGGGCAGTGAGAAAAATAAATCATGTTTGTCCATATCCAGCAAACTTACTGGAATGGGTTAGCAAGAAGTTATTAGCAGGGGGGCGGCAACTGGGAGTCATATGTAACTATTGCCTTTTCATTTCTCATCTTTGGTCTTTATTTGGTCACCGCAGCAATAATTGCACGTGGTTTGTCACTAAAGGGTCGGTGTAAATCAGTTTTGTTGCGGCATGAATTTCAGCAGCAGAAATGGCATTATCAAACATGTTAAGTTTTGAATGCATTTATTGCTTAAAATACTCATTGAAGGTTAGGTTTCACCGTTGCCTCCAGAGGTCTAAATTCAAATGCTGTGTTGGAGTAAAAGTGAATTGGCCATTCTCATTTTATTCTTCATATACTTATGTAGTATTACAAAACACAGCCTGCTTGATAGATGCCTGCTCTGGAAAAACAGGAGTCCTAGTTCCTGCCCCTTTATTAGAACTGGATCCATAGACAGCTGTAAAACAAAAAAGACCTCTCATGGATGGTCCTATTTAAAAGGCGGGAATAGAACTGCACTGATTAATTTCACAGACATTGGAGACTGTTTCTTTTAGAAGTCTTTAGCTACCATGGCACTATCGCTTTTGAAAATCAGATGGTAGGTGTCCTCACTTTTCCGTCACATGTTCCAGTCGGGCATCTGTGTACAAAAATCACAAATTTTAAAAATATCTCTTTCTTTTCCTCATATTGTGATATGTCTTCATGTAGTATATTTTCAAGCAGGTTTTGCAGGGGTAGATTGTTTGTAACAACTTCCATTGTATTCATAATTACAGTCAGCTCTGTCACCTGTGAATTAAAACCTTTTATTAAATACCTTTATGAAATGCTAGGTACAGATTTACGGGGAGGGGAATGAGAGGATAAAAGAGCTGTTGCGTTCTTATTAACAGCCGCATAATGCATTTCTGTGCCACGTGTTTGGGACTGCCTCTGCCTTTGAATCTTGCTTGTGCATTTGGAGAAAGAACCACAGACACTTTTTGTTTCATTTTTTAAATATTGGAGTGAAAGATCACTTTCTATCAAGAGACCAAATGCCCTGGCTTGGCAAAATGGACTGCTTGCAGGGGTCCATATGATCCGTCTGATCATACAGCTTTCCTACAATACTGTTTCTGTCATTCACAGGGTGGGTGACCTTCAGATCTCAGTGGAAGGGTCTTTAACTCCCTGGTAAAAAAGGAGAATGCGTCCCATGATTATCATCATTTATCTATTCATCCCGTTCTCCTTACTTTTTCTTGTCTCTTTTTTTCTTTTCAGGATGGAGTAGGTGTAGATGAGAAGCTGTCTTTACGGCGGGTAGCCGTGGTAGAAGATTTCTTTGACATTATCTATTCCATGCATGTTGAAACTGGGCCTAATGGAGAACAAATCAGAAAACATGCTGGACAAAAGAGAACGTATAAAGCAGTAAGTAAAAAAACGCAGTGAAAAGTGTGAATTATTTGGGCTTAGTCACATGGCATGCGATTTGTGTTTTTTCCAGCTGGGTTAGTACCGCAACCCTCACCCTCAAATTTATTTCAGAGATCTTTCAGTAATGCATGAAAACATAGAGTTTAGAAATCACAGTTTCTGTGTGATAAGGACCAGATCCATTGACTTCAATAGAGATTTTCTCATTGGTACAAGCAGAGAATTTATTCTTTCTATAATGGTTTGACAATTTCTCTAATAACTGTATTAATTAATTGTTATTAAATGGATGAAGTCTTAAAGAAGGTTTCGAAGGTATTGCCACAAGTTTGCTAAATGAGGTGCTGTACTTCAGCATATGAATGAACTTGCTTACAGTTTATGCTGCAGACTAAGTATACTTAACGGTTTAATGGTATGAAAACTTGTAAATATCCTAAATTCAAAAGGCCAGAAAGCCATCCTACAAATACATGCCAAGGTACAATGAGAGAAGTATTGAGAGGGCAGCTCTCACACCTGCATAAACCAGCTAAGTAGAGAGAAATGATTATTTCTAAGATTTTTAATTGCACGTTGCTGCTTGACCTAACCAGTTCAGCCACTGCCTTAAAACAGCTATAAATAGCTTTTGTGGTTAGTGGCACAAATATAACAGTTTATTTTCTTACGGAGAACTAATGAAATATTTACTGCACTTTCCCAAGGTGCTTAAAATGTACGTGCTTGCCTGGATTTGGATGGCCAAACTTCCATGCGCAGGGCTGTTACAGTGCCAGGCATGCTCAGCGGTTGATCCTGATCCACATTGCCCAGCTGTTTCCAGCTGCTGAAGCTCTGGGGGCTCCCCCAGGGAGGGCAGGTCAGGCCATCCCAGCCAGGGCCTGTCCCACCACCCTGGCCAGGGCGCAGAGCAGCCGGGGCACCTCTCCCCATGGCCCCAGCGGGACGGGGCTGGCGGGGGGCTGCGCACAGGGCCCTGGGGTGACCTCTCACCCTGAAGACAGTGTTCTTCACCTTTAAACAACCTGCAGTCGTGTCAGCCATTTTTCATCAGAGGTCTCAAAATGTGTGGGAACTCCACGTTTCTGATACCCACATCTTCAATTTTAGCCGTAAGAAATAGCTGTTTTTCCATTACTGTTTTTTTCAGGTGTATAACAATCTTTACTTTGTATCTATGAATCCCTTCACAGATATTTTATTTATAGGCCATTTCAGATGGTTTGTTGTGGGATAAGCTCTTAGCAAGATTTCTTATAATTTATTCCCGGCGGTGTTGACCTTAAGACAGATATATGAAGGAAGACACCAGTCATCTGGGTGTGCTTTGTAAGGCTTGGAGTGATACTTCAGGGTGAACAAATACAAACTGTCTAAATTAATCTTAATCTGTCGCCTCAGCCTTTTTGATACTTGGTCTTCTCTTTTAGAAAGCATTAGAAAAGTAATATTTTCATTGACCTTTCTCCTTCTATTTTGTTTTACTTCAGTAAGCCGTTCAAAGGTATAGGTCACAAACTTTGTAGAATAATACACAAGTATAAGGAATGCTGCCAACTATAAATACAATACTTCAAGTCATCATCCTACAAATACATGCCAAGTATAATATTTACTACCGTAAGAATCTCATGATTCCAGGTCAGATAAGAAATTTGTTTATTGTGGACAGCATGAAAGACAACTAGTGTCTCTTCTGTGAGAACTATTTGTGCAGACTCAATAGCCTACACAGTAGTTTCATTTGATGTTAACTTTTACTGTAATTGAGACCTGAGCTTATTACGTTGTTATGAGCAGAGGATAAAGATGCCCAAATGTAAGTTTGTGTCATAACAAGAGTCTGCATTATTTGTGCATTCATTTCATTTATTAAAGGCATTGAGTCATATTTGCCAAGGACAGGATTCACATATATAATTTTTAAAGATTTCCATAAATTAAAAAAAGGAAACAAACTAATATCAGAACAGGCTAATATCAACTCCCGCTCTCTATCCCAACATGAGAATTAGGTTAAATAAACAGGCCTCAAACTCTACCAGACTAACTGGGGAAATGCATGCTCCTTTACTGGACCTGCCCATGAAAGTGCTGTCACTAAAAATGATGAGCTGTAGTGTCGGTCTGTTCCAGCAAGCCACGCGGTATCTCCTCCTGTGGCGCTGCAGGAGGAAAGTGGTAGTGTCTTAGGTAACCGTCTCACAAAACATTATACCCTAAGAGCTTTATAAATCAAACTGAAGTACTTTGGCGGGGTTTAATTTTATTAAGTGAATTGGGAACAAGATTAATTTAGTCTTGTTTCTTTATTCACATGTCAGAAGTGAATCATCCTTGAGATCTGTGAATGTATTTATCATGCATAAGTATTCACCAAATAGTTTGAGTGAACAATTTTTACAGGAAGGATGGTTCACAAACTGTATGCTACAACTGCTATTTGTTATTCATAATTCCTGGCATGGGATGATCACATTGCTTCTGCTCTCTGACTGGAAAACTGAAACATTTTAACAGAAAAATGATGGGGAGAAACCCACCACATTTTTGGTACAAAATTGCTAAACTTCTGAAGTTCCTAAATATTGTCATGGGTATTTGGTACCTGAGTATTTCTAAAAAATGAATGGCACAGCCCTAAGAATTGCAACATATTGATTTCAAGTAATTAATTTGCTTAATATGTGTGAGCCTCTATTTTCAATAGTGAACTTGCTCCACTCAAAATTTTGAATAGCACTCAAGCATGATTAGAAGGGTAATGAAATTGTCAAAGGTGACTTAATTAACTACCGTTTGCATTTATATGGAGTAGCAAACTTGGAATAGGTAGGGTCTTTTTAATTTTTGATAGAGTCACCCCACATGCTGGAGTGCTAAAATACATCAGTATGTCTCCCTGAAAGCGTGTTCAGAAGAGCTTACAAACTCGATTAGTGAATCTGTGATCTGCACTGACTTGTTTATGTTAACTGTGTGGAAACGAATGGCATTTTTACAATGGATTTCTGTGGGACTTCCTACAGTGGTGCTGCACAGGAAGATAAATAGGATGTGGTGCTTGGTACCTCTAAAAGAGCAGCGTATTGGAAGGGACCCTTTATATTTTAATTGGGGCAGCAATGTACCAAACTCAAACTTTGTGATTTCTTGGCACAAACCGTATAGATTAATTAGGAAAGCATCTGTGCTTCAATATTTAAGTTTAGAATAAGGTCCCATTTTCTTCTTCTCTGAACACTAACAGATTAGAAGGGATTTGTACAAAGTCTATGTAGATGATGGGGGAGAGTAACCTTGAAAATATGCAAAAAAGAGTGAGCTTCCCATTTAACTGGCAGGTTTTGTGCTCATTTCAAGTGCCCGACTAGTATACAATATAAGATTGATGGGCTGTTGTTCCTTGCCAGCATAACTGTAGGTAGATCTACATCAGCAAAAAAAAGACCTGGCTTATATAGTTCTGTAGTTCTATATATATAAAATGAAACCAAGAACTTTAAATCATACCTGGAGTACACCAGACTGAAGGAATACTTAATACGATGTTTATAATCTCAGCTAGTTCCCTGGCTCCCAGGGAAGTTTACAAACAGGGAAGACGTCAAGGGCCTTGATCTGGGAGATAATTCCCTCACAAAGGCAGGATATGTGACACAAGGCCCAGCCGAGTCTGTTGCTCAGCAGGGGCACAGGTGACTAGGAAGATGCGGAAGGTGAAAAGAGCATGTTCCTTGGTGCCAAGGAAAGCAGCGGTGCCCAAACAGATCCCTGCTTGTCCTGCATTCCCCCCGGGTCCTCTGCCGGGCTCCGTAGGAGGTGGGGTGAGATGTGCTGATGCAAGGAATTGGTTAAGCGGTCGGGAGAAGGTACCGAGGATCCTCGTAGGGGTGACTCTGCTAGCGCTCGCTGCTACAGCTCAGTGTCCTAGAGGAACTGCGTTGCTTTGGGACAGTACTTTTCACTCTCTGTCCTAAAGGACTTATTTCTGTATAGGCATCCCACCCTGAAAGGAGAACTGCGGTGTCAAAGTGGAGACGGGGATGCACAGGAGAGAAGCGTTCAGGAGAAGAATCCGTCTGGTGTATTGGGAAAGGCATTCAACAAGTGCATAGCTGGCTTTCTGTGCCTTTGCAGAGCTGCATTTCTTGATTTAAACTATTCAGCTGTGTCTAAAATTTAAATTCAAGTGCTGAGGGGTATATCAGAAGTGGGAGTAACTGGGGAAAGTTGTGGCTACAGCAGCAGCATAATGCAACAGGCTCAAGCTGTTAGGACAACTCTTTGTGATTCAGTGTAAACCAGGAAAAAAATAGCCTTATTACATTTTTCAAGAAACTCAAATGGCCTCCTCTCAGGCCCAGCTATGGGTACAAGTAGGCCAGATTTAGTGATCAAGCCCTGTATTTCAGAGAAGATTTTATCTTCCTTTAATATTCTTTAAAAAGATGTTAGATTTTCATTCATTTAAACAATAGACTATGAAGAGTAAGTGCCTCACCTTTGTATGTTATATCTGGACAAAGTTGCCTGTAACTAAGTGAATCATCTATCTGAGAACTGTTTGTGTAACTCTTGTAGCCACCTTAAACACCTTAAATTCTATATGCATATTCTACTCGAATATTTTTTTTTACCTGTGAAGGATGATCTGATGTCTGCCTGTTGAGCCTGCGTAGCTGCCGTTCAAAGCCTTGAAACGTTACAGCAGTGCACTTGAGTTGTGAGTGAGGGTTGCGATGTCTGAGCAGGACAAATGGGTCAGTTAATAAAATTCCCAACCCATGAATGAAAAAAGAGCACTGGGCTGATGAGCTGGAAGAGAAGCAGGCTTGTAAAACATGTGGGAGATACTGATCTGTCAAGGGAAAGTAGCTTGGGGCAAGGCTCTGATCAGATAGGTAGTACATAGATACAGAACATCTGAGGCATAACAGGAGTCTGTTACGTGTGGGGCAATATCTGGGGTCCTGTGCTTCATCCAGCTG